AGACAGAATCTTAAAAGCATCAAGAGAAAAGCAATTAGTTATCTACAACAGAACTCCCATAAGACTGTCAGTCGATTTCTCAAAAGAAACTTTTCAAGCCAGAAGGGTTTGGCAAGAAATACTTAAAGTGATGAAAAGCAAGGACCTACAACCAATATCACTCTATCCTACAAAGTGGTCATTTAGAATAGATGGACATGTAGTTTCCCAGACAAGAAAAAGCTAAAGGAATTCATCACCACCAAACCAGTATTATATGAAATGTTGAAGGGTCTTCTTTTTTTAAAAAAAAAAAATTCATTCATTCGTTCACTTATTTATTTATTTATTCATTTATTTAGGTACGTGCCCCTAGCAGGAACCGAACCCGGGATCCTCTGGTCTACAGGCCAATGCTCCAGCCACTGAGCCAAACCAGCCAGGGCTCAAGGGTCTTCTTGAAGAAGATAAAAAATATGAACCAGCCCTGGCCGGTTTGGCTCAGCGGTTAGAGTGTCAGTCTGCGGACCAATGAGACCCAGGTTCAATTCCGGCCAAGGGCTCATGCCTCAGTTGCGATTCATCCCCGGCCTTGGTCGGGGTCCTGTGTGAGGCAGCCTGTCGATGTCGCTCTCTCACATTGATGTTTTTCTCTGTCTCTCCCTCCTTCCTAATCTGTCTAAAGATAAATGGAAAAATATCCTCCGGTGAGGATGGAAAAAACAAAAAAGTGGCAATAAATACATATCAATCGGCAGTTGAATCTACAAACCAAATGAACAGGCAGAACAGAAACAGACTGATAGACCTTTTTGTTGGTTGCCAGATATGAGGGGGTGTTAGAGGGATGGGGGAAAAAAGAGGAGGGATTAAGAAGTACAAATTGAGTGCTTACAGCTCTTTTTGAATATGTCTAGTAGGTCTTCCAGATTTCACCAGAAGGCTCTAAAAAAAAAAAAGTACAAATTAATTGTTAGACTGATGAGCCTCAGAGGGAAGGAGGGGGTGGGAAGAGATAAATTAAAGAACTTATATGCATATATGCATAACCAATGGACACAGACAGTAGTGTGAAGGCAGGCAGAGATGGGATCGAGAAAGAGGGGGTCAGTAGGGGTAAAGGGGGGACATTTGTAATATTCTCAACAATAAAGATAAATAAATCAATTATGTCCCCCCCCAAAAACACAAACAATAAAATTTTGATATCTTGATGTATTTTGAAGAAAAGAGAGAAATGAACACGGATGTTGCCCTGTCCTGTGTTGCTTAGTGGCTAGAGCATCCGCCCAAGCACCAAAGGGTTTGATTCCCGTGACCCTGTATCTGGGTTGTTGGTTCCCCCAGGCCCTGGTCAGGGCACATGTGGGAGGCGATTCGATGTGTCTCTCACATTGATGTCTCCCCACCCCCACCTCCTTTTCTCTCCTGCCCCCTCCCTTTCTTTGTCCCCCTCCCTCCCTTTCTTCTACTCTCTCTAAAAAGCATTGGAAAAGCCCTGGCAGGTTTGGCTCAGCGGTTAGAGTGTCATCCCGCGGACCAACAAGTCCCGGGTTCGGTTTCCGCTTAGGGCATGTACCTTGGTTGCAGTTTGTCCCCGGCACCAGTTGGGGTCATGTGGGTGGCAACCATTCGATGTGTCTCTGACATCGATGTTTCTCTCTCTCTCTTCCTCCCGCTCCCTCCCGTTCTGTCTGAAGGTACATGCAAAAATGTCCTCATGTGAGGATAAAAAAAAAAAATTCAATGGAAAAAATTAACTCAGGTGAGGGCTAACAAATATATATATATATAATATATATATAAAATAGATTTGTATGTTAAGAAATTTTTGCAAATTTGTCATTTTTATGTTTGGCTTAATAGAAAACAGCTGGATTTTCCTATCTGACTCTGTAATCTGTTGTGATATATAGTTTTAGTTGAAATATGTGAAGAAAATTCAGCTTCACCCTCATATATAGTTGGAAATGTGATGGGTATTTTAATAGCCTTTTCAGATAACTGGAGAATCTTTGATATTGTAGTAGTTTCTTAAAGATTAGTTGCAACACGGAATTTGAAATGTGGAACTTTTTATCATCTTTTACATTGAAGTCTGGTTGGTCTGTCTTGCACTTGAAAGGAACTTTTACCAGTGAATAATTTAATAATTTCATGCATTGGCTTTTGGAAAATATTGGTTCACTGAGTTAATACAGATCTTCCCAATGTGGTATATTTTACTATACAACATGATTCATTAATAGGACTACCAAACTCATCAGAGAAGCTTTTAAAAGGTATTAGGAAACTGTCAAACTAATAGTGGCAAATACAAGTTTTCTAGAATTCTTATTTTTGCCCAAAACCTCTAATTTTACAATTGAGGACCAATGCTATCAGTTGTGGTATTTTGTTTGTTTATTTGTTAATTCTCACCTGAGGATATTTTTTTCCATTGATCTTCGGAGAGAGTGGAAGGAAGTGGGGGGAGGGAGAAACATTGATGTGAGAGAGACACATTGATTGGTTGCTTCCTACATGTGTCCCAACTGAGGCTGGGTATCAAACCTGCAACCCAACTATGTGCCCTTAACCAGGAATTAAACCCTTTGGTGCATGGGTGAATGCTCTAACCACTGGGAAACACCAGCCAGGGCTAGTTATGGTTTTTATTTTTATTTAAAAAATTTTTTTAATCCTCATCTGGAGATATTTTTCCATTTATGTTCAGATAGAGTGGGAGGGAGAGAGAGAAAAACAACAATGTGAGAGAGACACATTGACTGGTTGCCTCCTGCACAACCCTGACCAGGGCCAGGGACTGAACCACAACTCAGGTACATGCCCTTGACTGGAATCGAACTCACTACTCTTTAGTTCGAGAGTTGATGCTCTAACTGCTGAGCCAAACTGTCCGGGGCTAGTTGTGGTTTTTATTTTTATTTATTTTTTTATCCTCACTTGAGGACATTTTTGCATTTATCTTCAGATAGAGCAGGAGGAAGGGGGGAGAGAGAGAGAGAAACATTGATGTGAGAGAGACACATTGAGTGGTTGCCACCCATACGACCCCAGCTGGGGCTGGGGACAAACCGCGACCGAGGTATGTGCCCTTAGTGGGAACTGAACTCAGAACTCTCTGGTCCGCGGCCCGACGCTCTAACCGCTGAGCCAAACCAGCCAGGGCTAGTTGTGGTTTTTAAATAACAACTTATTGATATGTAATTCATGTACCAAACAATTCATCCATTTAAAATGTGTGTGTGTGGGGGGAGGACAATAGAAAAAAAAAAAAAAACACAAAAATTAAAATAAAATTATGAAAGTCAGTTGTTTTTAGTATATTTTCTGGGTTGTGTAGCCATTACCACAATTCGTTTTAAAACGTTCCATACATTTTTTTAGAATATTGAGAACATTATCCCAAAACAAAACCTCATATCCTTTTGCTATTACCCTCCTACTCCTATCCTTTTCCCTATCCTCACTCACCCTGCTCCTAAGCAACTGCTAATGTACTTTCTGTCTATAGATTTTTGTCTTCTGGACTGTCATGTGAACTGGAATCATAGTATGTGGTCTTATGTGACTGGCTTCTTTCACTTAACAAAATGTTTTCAAGGTTCATCTATGTTGTACCCAATACTTCATTTCTTTTGTTTTTTTTGTGTTGTGGTAAAATATACATAACAAAGTTGGCCATTTTAGCCATTTTTAAGGGTATGATTTAGTGGCATTAAGTACATTAACATTATTGTGCAACCATTACCAACCACTATCCATCTTCAGAACTTTTTGTCATGCCAAATGGAAAGTGTGTACCCATTAAACAATTACTTCCCATTACCACCCTCACTCAGACAGCATCTGTAATTTCAGGGAGATCCCCCAAACACTCTCAGGTTTGATAGTTCACTAGAAGTACTCACTGAAAGCAATTATACTTAAAGTCATGGTTTATTAAAGGGACAGGATATGTATTAAAGTCAGCTAAAGGAAGAGACATATATGGCAGAGTCATGTGTTCTAAAGACAGTTTCATACTCCTTTCTCATGGTATGAGGACATATTATCCATCCTCCTGGCATAAATGTGTGACAACATGCATTAAGTATTGCCATGCAAGGAAGCTCAGCTCAGTTTCAGTGTCTACAGTCTGCATTGGGGCTTCATTACATAGGACTTACTGATTTGATTGGTTGCCCACATGTGATTGAAGTCAGTCTCTAGGTTGATTGATACTGCATTGCCCAAAGTCCCTACCCTAAATCACATGGTTTGGTTTTTCTGGGGTGGCCAGCCCCAGAAATTCGTAATAAAATACGAATTTTATTCGGTAATAAAATAACTCCTATAAGGTATGACATAAATGATCTCCTAAAAGCCAAAGGCAAAGACCAGACTTTGCTTTGGTTAAGGCCAAATTTTTTAGTGTACTGGGACAAATATTCATTTACAGGGGCAGAATTAAGAGTGGAATGTCATCTGACTGCCAGAAATTATATTAGGATCTTTATGTATGGTAATCTCATTAAATTTTCAAAACAACCCTGAAAAATAACATTCTTTTATTTTTCACATGAGGAAACAGGCTCATAAGCCAAGTAACTTCTCTGAGTGGTAGAGCTGGGATTCTGCTGAATTTCTCTACTTCAAAGCCAAGCCCTCCATCAAGCATCACTAGTCAGGACTGTTCTGTTGCACAGCCTCAGGGACACTGTCTACATCGAATTCTCTATAGGTGGCTCTCCTTAGGCTTGTACAGTGAAGCACCTTGTATCCCAGCCACCTCAGAAACACATGCCATCTGAATAAAGGCAATGTGCTTGCTGCATAAATGGAGCTTCCAGACAGGTTCCTTGTACTCTGTTGTGTGTGAATTCTGGAGCCATCACCACACATTACCTCCCACCATAGCAAGTTGAAGTTCCTCTCAGGTTACCAGTTTTATAGCACCAAGCAACAGTTGCCTCATCTCTGATTATGAGCTGATTTGAGCATCACCGGAATTATTTCTCCTTTTATTTCCTTCTTAGGCTGCTGTACAGGACAGATTGAATGAGCAAGAGGGTGTACCAAGTGTTTTCAACCCACCTCCATCCCGACCCCTGCAGGTTAACACAGCCGACCACAGGATCTACAGCTATGTTGTCTCAAGACCACAACCAAGGGCAAGTTATTTCATAACTGGAATTTCTCCCCATTTATTTTATAAGTCCATTCACTTGGTTATGTTGGTCTCTGATAGGAGCAAAAGAAAAGCTCAGAATGTGTAGCAAGACCTGTCTCCTTGGTAGATTTATTGAGTTCATTGTTTTTCCTTGATTCTTTCTTTTCCCTGAGCCGCCATTCCCCTCCCACTTCTTTGATTCTTTAATAAATTGATACAGTAACTGCCTATTTTTTTGTGTGGGAGGGTTCTTTGCCAGTTATTTGAAATGTTTTCTGTACACAGTAGTTGTATTTATATGTCTAAAAATGTTTGCTCTACCTTCCACCTTTTTTTTCCCCCCAGACAGAGTGGGAGGGAGAGAGAGAGAGAGAGAGAGAAACATCGACGTGAGAGAGAAACATTGATTGGTTGCCTCACATACACATTCTGACTGGGGATCAAACCTTTTAATAATACAGTCAGCCCTTGTTTATCGCGGTTAATCAGTGTCAGACGTGCCGCGATAAATTTCCGTGAAGTAGGATTCTTTATTTACTATACAGTCCTCCCTTGCCACTCCGCGTTCGGACTTTTGCAACTTCACTCTATTGCGGTTTGGAAAACCGCGACAAACTGCCATAGAGTGAAGCCGCGAAAGTTGGGGCACGAAGTGGCGAGGGAGGACTGTATGGGCCGATGCTCCAACCAACTGAGCCACCCAGCCAGGGTTAGACCTTCCACTTTTTAGTTAGAATGTTTACTGAGTTTTTTGTCGCTTTATTTTACTTAATTTAAAGCTAATTCTAGGGAAATACTGGGAATCATTTTTGAAAGCCTTAGCCATATCTTTGAAATTAGTCTTCAGGGGCTAGCAGCAAGGAAGTAGTGCAGTTAAATTCAGCAGGCATTGCCCGGCTGGTGTGGCTCAGTGGTTGAGCATCCACCCATGCACCGAGTTTGTCGGTTCTATTCCTGGTCAGGCACAGGCCCAGCTTGTGGGCCCAGTCCCCAGTGTGGGGCATGCAGGAGGCGGCCAGTCAATGTTCTCTTTCATCAATGTTTCTGTCTCTTCCTTCCTCTCTCTCCAAAATCAATAAAGAAAAAAAAATTAAAAAAAAAAAATTTCAGCAGGTGTTAAGAGTACTCCAGTGTACCTGATAGTTGGCTGCTGGTGATCCGGAGGTGCATGAAGAACCAATACTCCCTCTTGGCATTGCTCACAGTCTAATCCGGGAGGTCATATGTGTATAGGATACCGATAATGAACTCCAAAGAACGTTTTGCAGTTTCTCTTAACTGTTGGAGTTACACTCACCTCTTGGACTTGAACTTAGAATTCCAAGAAAGCACTCCATTTAACTTTGTAGCAGTTAGAATTTCCTCCATCATTACAGCTTTTTTGGAGTACTTGACAATATTTTATTTATTTATTTATTTATTTATTTATTTATTTATTTATTTATTTATTTATGTACATGCCCCTAGCAGGAACCAAACCTGGGACTCTCTGATCCATAGGCCGACGCTCCAACTGCTGAGCCAAATCAGCCAGGGCGACACTATTTTTAAATGGAGTTTCTAAGTTGTTATTTGTGGGTATTTTGAAGTAGAAGTAATTGTATATCCCAATGTTTCTTCAGTTTGTTTTTGGCCTGTCTCAGTGTTCGGAATCCTTATGTCAGCCATGAGGCTCCAGATCTCCCTGGCTATGGAAACAGGGAGAGAATCTCAGATTAACACAATATGATGTATAAGAAATGCTTTGTTAACTATAGAGCTCTCTCTATATATGCTAGTTAATATAGCAGCAGTAGCAATTATCACCATTTTTAATAATAATTAGCATTATTTCTAAGATTAGCAGCTATATAGAGATTTATAATTGTGGTTAATATAATTGTCAATTGTATACAAATATGTTCAAGGTAGTAATAGTGGTTATCTTTCTTACTGTTCTGTATACCCTGTACATATATATGTGTGTGTGTATATATATGTATATATATATTTTTGTTTGTTTGTTTTGTTTTGTTAATCCTCAGGCGAGGATATTTTTCCATTGATTTTTAGAGAGAGTGGAAGGGCGGAGGGGAGGGGGAAGAGAAATATCAATGAGAGAGATGCATCGATTGGTTGCATCCTGCACTCGCCCTAACCAGGGCCAGGGATTGAACCTACAGCCCAGGTATGTGCCGTTGACTGGGAATCAAATCCACATCCTTTGTTTGGTCTAAGAGCTGACACTTTAACCACTGAGCAGTGCTGGTCAGGGCTATACCATATTTTAATGTGTAAATCTGAAAAAAAGGAAAGAATAATTTTGATTTGGGGAGGAAAAGTTTCAATTGTGTTTGACAACGAATATAAATAGCTGCAGAAAAAGTATTGGAGCAGATTTAATACAAAAATTGTGTGATAAAAGAAAAAATATGATAGTATTACATGAAATGAGATCAAAGGCAGTTGGTCTTTAAGAAGGATGAGGTGGCCAGGAAGAGGAAACCTTATTGCAGAGGGAGAAATCACATGAAGGATCAACAGAATGAAAAATTGAACTAGCCATTTTGTAAGGTATTAGTGAATAAATGAATGGTATCTAACTTTGTTTTTGGAATTTTAGGGGCTGCTCGGATGGAGTTATTATTTGATTATGCTTCCATTCCGGTTTACCTATTACACAATACTTGATATATTTAGGTATGTACCTTTGTATTATGTGATAGTAGCAACTTTGGAACTGAAACGTAGACCAGAATAAAATTTACGTTCTATCAATTTGGACTTTCCAATTTGATACCAGATTGAATACTCTTCCTAAACAATCTTTTCATGTTGTATGAAAATATTTTAAATTATTCAAATATAAAATGTGAAATAAAATTGTTTTAAACTAGTCTTGCGTATTGTTTTCAAGAATCAGTTTACCTACATTTATTGTTATCCTCCCTCCTCCCACATGTTTGTCACCTCAACATTCCCTAGTTAATCCTCACACCCTTTCCTTTTTAACCACCATATTTACTAGCTTCATACTCCTTGTAACTTTTACCCTAAACCATCTAAAACTTCATCTGACTACTAATAATCCCCACAAATTCTCCTGCTCTGAGATTAGTCACTTTTCTCTAGACTCCCTCACAAGTTTCATCTCTCTAGACACTCCTATACAATTCCCTCTGTCTGAGCAACCCATAGGTTGCTGCTACTGGAACCTTACCGTATGTATGCCCCCTTGCTTCACACCTTAACCTTTCTTCTCTCTTCCTTCATATACCATTTAGAGAGCTCAGCACTAGAGAATACAGAAGGGCCAGGGCTGGAAAATGTCCAGGGGGTCCAAACTGCTGGCACATTAGGCTTGGGTGTCTGGTCTAGAGCTGAGTAGTGGATGAACCTAGGCCTTATGGGGAACTAAAATGTTTATGGGCAGGCCAACAGAGCTAGACTCTGTGGTCTGGGTCTTGCATACAGGGCAACCTCTACCTCCCTCAGATGTGGGATAGCCTTTGCCTTGTTCTAGGGAGCAGAGGCTGGAGGTGAGGACCCAGTAGCTGCAGAAGTGCAAGGATTAGACAGTACCTTCTATCTTGGCCATTTCGTGTTTTATGAGACTGCTTGCTTAATGGCTTCCTTGCTTTAGCAAAAGTTCTTATAGGTCAGCAATTAACCAATTAATACCCTTTCCGTCCCTGTTTTATTTAAGAATGGGCACATAAAAACTTTTAAAATCATAATGAAGACTGAGTTGATGTCTCTATTTTCTTTTTCTTTCTTTATTTTTTTTTTAGAGAGAGAGGAAAGGAGAGGGAGAGAGAGAAAGAAACATCGATGAGAGAGAACATCGATTAGCTGCCTCCTGCATGCTTCTCACTGAGGATTGGCCCCACAACCTGGGCATGTGCCTTGACCAGGAATCGAACCAGCGACCTCTTGGTGCATGGGTCAGTACTCAACCACTGAGCCACACTGGCCGGGTACAATTTTTTTTGAAAAAAGCTAATTGTCCTAAAATATGTAAGCCATGGAAACATATAGTAATGAGAAACAAAAAAGTTAAGTCCTTTATACATTCATTCATCAAAATGAAACTTCAAGACTAGTAAGATAATCCTAAAATTAATTTCAGAGAAAGTTATCAAACATTAATTTTCTAAAGGATTCCTACCCACATACACAGCTTCTTTTTTTACATTGAATTGCGGTGACATTGGTTAATAAAACCATGTAAGTTACAAGTGTACAATTGTATAATATATCATCTGTAGGTGCATTGTGTGCTCACCACCCAAAGTTTAGTCTCCTTCTGTAACCATTTATTTGACCCTTCACAACTTTTTACCTTTGTTTTTAATTTGCTCTGGAATGTTTGTGTCAATCAATTTGATTTGATTACTCAGGAGAAATTCCAAGTGAAATTGTATACCCATGGGGAATTTGAAGGGATAAGGAATTGAAATTGGCTCAAGATTTGGTAAGGGAAAGTCTCATAGTTTAGTCACCTTTCCTGTGCAGAAAATTCCTCAAGTATATGAATATTGTTTGTTCTCTGTGGACAGAAATATGCATGGCATATGTTACTAATTTCAATGAAACTGTATCATCCAAGCAACTTATTTAATGTTATGTAGCACAGTAACTTACCAAGCCTCTGCCCCCTTTGCCTTCTGTGGAAATCCAAAGGATAAATAAATGGTGCTATGCAAATATAAGATGGGCTCTTTAGAAACAGATATATGGTACCAACCTTAATCTGAAAAAAGCTGCCAGATCTCCAAATCTGCCAGTACACTCTAGATCAATTGTATAGTTTCCTCCGAGGATGCCATCAACCATAAATCATCAAGCAGAATTTACTTGCCCCTTTGAAGAGCAAGTAAATCATGACTGCAAATTTGAGTTTCAAGTTTCTGTCCATAATTTGAATAGCTTGGGAGAAAGCACTAAAAATTCAAAGCTCCAGGAGAAAGGAGAGGGAGAGGCAAGTTAGGAAAACGAAAAAGAGACAGAGCTCCATTCTAGACTAGCACTGCCAGTAGAACTTTCTGTGATGATGGAACATTCTGTAGCTGCACTGTCCAGTGTGGAAGTCACTAAACACATGTGGCTGTTGGGCACTTCATGTGACTAGAGTGATTGGGGAACTGAATTTTTTATTGTATTTTATTTAATTTAAATTTAGATAGCCACATGGCTTGGGGGTACCCATGATCTTTTTGGATACTGTGTCTTCCTTTCCCAATTCTTCTAGCTCTAAATTTTTCTGCAAAAAGCACTCAGGATTTATTTAGACCAGTATTGAATTTATAATCCTCATAGTTCATATTCTTCTTGAATAGGCGATGGAACATTTGCTGCTTTTCAGCTTTTAAGCCAGGCTCTCCTCTCAAGTTTGAAGTCCATTCCCAGACTGTTCACCTCCATTTGCTGCCATGCCGGTAGTACAGGAATCTTTATAAACTGGCCCACCCATATGCCGATTCATGTGATATTTATTCCTTCCTCCCCAGGTTTGCTCTTCGTTTTATACGGCCTGACCCTCGCAGCCGGGTCACTGATCCTATTGGGGACATTGTTTCATTTATGCATTCTTTTGAAGAAAAATATGGGAGGGCACACCCTGTCTTCTACCAGGGAACGTACAGCCAGGTCAGTGTCACAAATCATATAGATACCAATTTATTGATATGATTCTATCCACAAAGGAAAGGATAGCCCAGCACTGATCATGTCATTCTTTCACTGAGAAACCTTAAATAGCTCTTTACTGCTTACAGAAAAAAAGACCAAACCTTTTAGCTGGGTCCTTCTTGATCTAATCCTAACCTCCTTTTGAGGTCTTTCCTGCATAACTTATTTCTCCAATACCCTAGGTTCCAGCTAAACCGTTTCCTAAACAAAATCTGTCCTTTCACCCCTGTGCCTTTGCTTTTGCTGTTCCCTCCACCTGCAGTGCTGTCCTCACATTTTTTGCTAATTAGAATCTTGCCCATGCTTCAACCAGCTCACATCACTCCCTTCTTATGCCTTTTCCTGATTGTTGTGTCCCACCCTGGCCTACCTTGCAATTTAAAATAGTGCTTTCATGGTGTTGTATTTAATCTTACAGTAATTTCACATTTTTCTCTATATTTTAGTTATTTGTGTCTGTGTCTTCTCTCCTATGTCAGACAGTAAGACCCTTGAAGGCAAAGCCTGAAGTCTTCTTTGATCCCTCACAGAGCTGAATAAGGACATAGACTATAGACTCAAGGCTGCACATCTCATTAGCCCAAGCCACACCTACCACTAACTTATTACCTCAGGGTGAAAATGAAGAGTTCTATAGCATATCTTTAGTTTGCCAGAGAAAAATGTAGAAATAACACTGTGGGCATAGGCCAAAGGGTCGTTGTGTTTTGTAGCCTGTAGGATTCCTAAAACTATCTGGAAAAAAGGAAAAATGCTTATTCTTGCTTCCTGCCTGGTTCTCTCACATCTGCTTTTTCTCAGTCAGTCTCCCTCACTGGCTGCTCCCACCTCGTTCTACAAGCATATTATGTCAGTCATTGTGGCCAGTGCTAAAGATACTGAATGAAATAGGCACCTCTCATGCACTCTCTTTGCTGTGATCCTGACCACCATTGGTCGTTCAGGAATCCTTAATTGAATTATAATAGGCTCAGTATTATGCAAATGCAAAAGCATACACAGAAATCTGGGACACTAGCCTTATCTTTGAAGATCTTTCAAATCCGATGCTCTTTAAAATACTTTAGGTCCCACAATCCCTCATTCCTGCTTGGTATATGGCCTGGGATCATCTTTGCAGTATTTTTTATTTACAAGGATGTCAGAGCTGTAAAGTGGCAAGATTTTCACTTCCCTTTTCACATGGTCAGACACTCCTGTTTTATCTTCGTTTAGACTGGCAACAGCTGACTTCTGTGTTTTATTGGAGACCTTTATTTGTCAGCCTGTCTAGCCTCAGGAGCCTGATACAATTTAAATCCTAACAACACTAAAATGTTTTAATTAAAGCTTGTTAGCTTGGACTTTGTATAGGAAGATAAACTCCATGGGTGTGAAGGTAGTAGCCCAGAGCTCCTAATTATTTTTGCTTACTTTTTTCCTCATTTCTCCTTTTTTTCCTAAATGTATCCATTAGGACCCTTAGCCTAATTAAAAGCTAAAGGCACAGTCATCATAATATTTAGTGATCTTCTGCTTCCCACAGGCACTTAACGATGCCAAGCGGGAGCTTCGCTTTCTTTTGGTTTATCTTCATGGAGATGATCACCAGGACTCTGATGAATTCTGTCGGTAAGCGGATTGATCGTTTTCTTTCTCTTCTGACCTTATCTGCTCAGAGTTTAAAGTAAGCAAGTTCTTCTCATGTCCTTTTCATCTCTGTCCACAGTAATACCCTCTGTGCTCCTGAAGTTATTTCACTAATAAACACTAGGATGCTCTTCTGGGCATGTTCCACAAACAAGCCTGAGGGATACAGGGGTAAGTTGTTGTTGTTTCCTCATTGTGATTATTGGGATATCTTTGGAATAATCTGGAAAGACTTCCGATTTATTGCATGATTATTTTATGGTAGACACAATGTTAGTTGATATTTATACATTATGTCCTTTAATCTTCTCAGCAGTCCTGAGAGATTGGGTTGTATTACTACCACTTCATGGTGTAGGAAACAAGCTCAGAGAGTTTAAGCCTGGTCCAAGATCACACAGCAAGTTTTGGAGCAAGCTCAGGTCTTTCAGACTCTAGCTCATTCTTTTTTTTTTTCTTAATTAAAATTTTTTTTTTCCAATTACAGTTAACATTCAATATTATATTAGTTTCAGGTGTACAGCATGGTATAGTGATCCCCCCAATAAGTCTAATACCACCTGGCACTCTGCGTAGTTATTACAATATAATTGACTATATTCCCTGTTCTAGACTTGACATTCCTGTGACAAATTTTTGTTGTTGTTAATCCTCACCCGAGGATATTTTTCAATTGATTTTTAGAGAGTGTGGAATGGAGTGAGAGAGGTTAAAAGAGAAAGAGAAACAATGATGTGAGAGACATCAATTTGTTTCCTTCCGCATGGTCGCGACCAGGACCAGGGATCAAACCTGCAACCCAGGTTATGTGCCCTTGACCAGAATCAAACACGCTCTAACCACTGAGCCAAACTGGCCAGGGCCTTGCGACTGTTTTATAACTGCCAAGCTGTACTTGATCCCTTCAGTTTTTTTCACCCAGACCATGCTAGACAATTCTTTACAGTTAACCATTGGCAGAGCCTGTTTTATTCTTAAAAACATTGTCCTGGCCAGCAGCTTGCCTTTAATCTTTTTTTTTTTTTTTTTTAATAATCCTCACCTGAGGATTTTTTTTTATTTTAGAGAGAGAGAAAAAACAATATCGATGTGAAAGAGAAACATGGATCAGTTGCCTCCTGTACACACCACCCCAACTGGGGCTCGAACCTGAAGTCTGGATATATGCCCTGCCTGGGAATCAAACCAACGACGTTTCAGTGTATGGGACAATGCTCCAACCAACTGAGCCACACCAGTGAGGGCTTGCCTTTAATCTTTATTTTTATATATAGATATACTTTATATACCTTTTTTATTTTTTGTTAATCTTCTTGAGAGAGAAAGACATATCGATGTGAGAGAGACACATTGATTGGTTGCCTCCCACATGTGCCCCCAACCAGGACTGGGAATCAAACTCTCAACCCTCCATTGCAAGGGCTGACACTCTAACCACTGAGCAACACCAGCCAAGGGCCAAGGCTCCTTTTTTTTTTTTCTTTTTATCCTCACCCGAGGACATTTTTTCCATTTTTTGTTCAGATAGAGTAGGAGGGGGAGAGAGAGAGAGAAACATCGATGTAAAAGGGACATATCGAGTGGCTGCCACCCGCACAACCCAACCAGGGCCAGGGACAAACTGCAATCGAGGTACGTGCCCTTAGAGGGAACTGAACCCTGGGTCTCTCTGGACCGCAGGCCAACGCTCTAACCACTGAGCAACCAGCCAGGGCCTTTTTAAAAAAAAATTGATTTGAGAGGGAGGGAGAGACAGAGACAGAGACAGACATGGATCAGTTGTGCACCATGCCCGTACCAGAGATCAAACCCACAGCCTGGGTATGTATCCAGACTGGGAATTGAACCCACCACCTTTTGGTGTACTGGACAATGCTCCAAACAACCTTGCTTTTAATCTTAATGAGTTTGGAGCTTATTTGCCTCATCAATAATTTTAATATAGTCTCTTATACAATGAGTTAGTTATTTGAGTGCTGATGGGGATTCAGAAAGTTCAGTTCTTTACTGACAGTAATTCTTTTTTAAAATTATTTTTCCTTTATTGATTATAGAGAGAGAGGAAGGGAGAGGGGGAGGGAGATAGAGACATTGATAAAAGAGAGCATCGATTGGCTGCCTCCTGCATGCCCCCCATGTGCCCTGACTGGGAATCAAACTGGAGACCTCCTGGTACATGGGTCGATACTCAACCACTGAACCACAACCACCAGGCAACTCTTTTTTTTTTAATCCTCACCCATGGACACTTTTGCATTTATCTTCAGATAGAGTGGGAGAGAGAGAGGGAGGAAGAGAGAGAGAGAGAAACATCGACATGTGAGAGACACATCGACTGGCCGCCAGGGCTGGGGACAAACCACAACCAAGGCATGTGCCCCAGTGGGAACTGAACCTGGGACTCTCAGGTCCGCGAGCCGACACTCTTAACTGCTGAACCAAAACGGTCAGGGCAACTCTTTTTTTTTTAATCCTTACTCGAGGACATTTTTGCATTTTTAAATTTTCAGACAGAATGGGGGAGAGAGAGAGAGACATCGATGTGAGAGAGACACATCTACTGGCTGCCACGCACACAACCCAAACTGGGGCTGAGGATAAACTGCAACTGAGGTACATGCTCTTGGCGGGAACTGAACTCGGGTCTCTCAGGACCATGGGCTGGTGCTCTAACTGCTGAGCCAAACCGTCCAGGGCCAACCCTTTTTTTTTTTTCATTTTTATTGTTGAGCTGACAATAACTCTTAAAGTATTTTTAGAAGTCAGACCCTGGCCAGTTTGGTTCAGTGGTTAGAGCGTTGGCCCACGGACCAATGAGTCACGGGTTTGATTCCGGTCAAGGGCGTGTGCGTGGGTTGCAGATTGTCATGTGGGAGGCAACAGTTGATGTGTCCCTCTTCAATCAGTGTTTCTCTCTTTCTCTATCCCTCTCTCCCACTCTATCTGAAGATAAATAGAAAAATATCCTTGGGTGAGGATTTTAAAAAAAAGAAGTCAGTATGAGATACAGAGGTTTCCAACGAAGAAAAATGTAGTTACTTTGCAGCTATTTCCATTCAGTAACTTTTATGTGAATACCAGCATACCAGCCACTGTGCTAGATCCTGAGAATCAAAGAAGCAATGGGTATTTTGCCTGCATCCAGGAAATTGGTTTTTAATCATCTCTAAGTCTCACCCTGGCCGGTTTTGCTTAGCGGTTAGAGCATCAGCTTACGGACCAGAGAGTCCTGGGTTTGGTTCCAGCTAAGGGCATGTGCCTCGGTTGCAGTTTGTCCCTGGCCCCAGTTGGGGTCATGCAGGTGGTGGCCACTTGATGTGTCTCTCTCACATCGATGTTTCTCTCTCTCTCTTTCCCTCTCTCCCTCCCGCTCTGTCTGAAGATAAATGCAAAAAAATGTCCTCAGGTGAGGATAAAATAAATAAATAAAAATAGACATCTCTAAGTCCTATAGCATGTTTGCTTTGGGGTAATGGATAGTTGATAGAAGGAGACTAAGGATATTTTTCTTTTATTTATTTTATTTTTTAAATTGTTTTTTCTTTATTGGTTTTTTAGAGGGAGAGAGAGATAGAAACATCGATGAGAAAGAACATCAACTGGCCGCCTCCTGCATGCCCCCCACTGGGGATCAGGCCCACAACCTGGGCATGTGTCCTGACTGGGAATTGAACTGACGTCCTCTTGGTGCATGGGTCAGTGCTCAACCAATGAGCCACACCAGCCAGACCAGACTAAGGATATTTTTACAGAAACTTATAAAATCTCTTTTTTCACTATATATATATATATATATATATATATTCTTATTCCTCACCCAAGGATAGTTTTCCATTTATCAATAGTTAGAGTGGGAGGGAGGGAGGGAGAGAGAGACAGAGAGAAACATAGATGTGACAGAGCCACACTGACTAGTTGCCTCCCGCACAACCTGAACAAGGCTGGGAATAAACTGCAATCAAGGTACTTTGTCCTTGACCAGAATCGAACCCGAGACTCATTGGTCCGTGGGCCGACGCTCTAACCACCAAGCTAAACCGGCCAGGACTAAAATCTCTTCTTTCAAATCGTAAGGAAATCATAGGTAAAACTTGTGGTAAAATTTTGGTTTTTTAGAAGACCAACTCTGTAAACTGCTTTGAAACAGAAAAGCTAGCTCTTTTTTTGTGGAGTGAAAAAATACATGGTAAAAGGAAAGAATTGGATAAGAGGAAGATGGTGGTGGAGATCATTACCAGTAGCATAAGGCTTGCAGTCTTGTTCTCTTTAGGCTTGACCTCTTCCACAGGGAAAAATTATTCTAAGCAGTAGCCCGAGTTTTATAAATCCTTTGTTACCCATCAAATAGACATTGTCCTTGAACTCCACAGCCATCCCTAGCATCATCATGACAACCACACCCCCACCAGAAAAGCCTTTCCTGTTCTAATATAATTACCTGGGGATAGGTACACAAATATATAAGAACAACCACCACCAAAAAAAATATTAATTAAGAGGGAAAAGAGGCAGAGAATAAGTGATGCCCTTCTTTCCCAGATGGGATTAAAGCAGTTCTCTCTTGCTCACTGTGCAAAGTCTAAGAGTTGATCTGTTTTATCCTGAAGTCCTGCCCTTAACCTGTTGGGTCTTTTTTCTGTCAGTTTCACAGGCTTTACGAGAGAACACCTATCCATTCCTGGCCATGATTATGCTGAAAGATCGGAGGATGACTGTAGTGGGACGGCTAGAAGGCCTCATTCAACCTGATGACCTCATTAATCAGCTGACATTTATCATGGATGCAAACCAGACTTACCTGGTGTCAGAACGCCTAGAAAGGTACAGGGGAATTCCTCTCTGGAACTGAGAGAGGGAACAGCTGACCTTGGGCTCCACAAATCTTTACTTCTCTCTCTAGGCAACTTTAAAAGCTTTATCCATTTAGTGTTAAAATGTTTATGTACTTTGACATAACTCTCCATCAGATCACTTGTTCTTAGAGATGTGAATCAAAATACAAGACAGGGCTCTGTGTTCAAGAATATATATTGTATCATTTAGAATAGCAGAGTCTTGATATAAAGAGCTTAAATGGCCCTGGCCGGTTTGGCTCAGCAGTTAGAGCATCGGTCTGCGGTCCAGAGAGACCAGGGTTTGGTTCTTGCTTAGGGCACATACCTCGGTTGTAGTTTGTTCCTGGCCCTGGTTGGGTCGTGTGGGTGGCAGCCACTTGACGTGTCCCTTTCACATCGATGTTTCTCTCTCTCTTCTCTCTCCCTCCCACTCTATCTGAACAAAAAATAGAAAAAATGTCCTCGGATGAGGATTAAAAAAAAAAAAAGCTTAAATGTAAAACTGAGAAATGGTTGTAACTCTTTCCCCCCATTACATAAGTAATATACATTAGTTATAGAAAATTTGGAAAACACAGAAAAGAACGAAGAAGAAATTTAAAACCACCTATAATACTACCACCACTTTTAACATTCTCGTATATTTTCTTTTTAAACTTATTTTTATTGTTGAATGTATTATAGATGTCCCTCCTTTCCCCACCCATAACCCTCTTCTCCCCACTCCCGCCCTCCCTCCTGCCTTCCCCACACTATTATCTATGTCTATTGGTTATGCATATATGCATATAAGTTCTTTGATTTCTCTCTTCCCACCCCACAACTCCCCTTCTCTTTCAGGTTTGTCAGTCTAACAACCAATTTGTACTTCTTAAATTCTTTACCTTTTTCACCCATTGTTCCAACCCCACTCCATCTGGCAACCAACACAAAGTTCTCTGTGTCTATGAGTCTGTTTCTGTTCTGCTTGTTCATTTTGTTTGTAGATTCAGTTGTTGATAGATATGTATATATTGCCATTTTATTTTTGATATTTTTGTTCTTCTTCAAGAAGACATGTCAGCATTTCATACAATGCTTGTTTGGTGGTGATGAACTCCTTTAGCTTTTTCTTGTCTGGGAAACTCTTTATATGGCCATCAATTCTAAATGATAGCTTTGTAGGATAGAGTAATCTTGGTTGTAGGTTCTTGCTTTTCATCACTTTAAATATTTCTTACCAAACCCTTCTGGCCTGCAAAGTTTCTTTTGAGAAATTAGCTGACATTCTTATGGGAGCTCCCTTGTAGGTAACTAACTGCTTTTCTCTTGCTACTTTAAAGATTCTCTTTGCCCTGGCCAGTTTGGCTCAGTTATTAGAGCGTTGGCCTGCGTACCAGTGATTCGTGGGTTAGATTCCAGTCAAGGGCACATACCTGGGTTGCAGTTTGTCCCTGACCCTGGTCAAGGTCATGTGGGAGGCAGCCAGTCAATGTGTCTCTTTCACATCGATGTCCGTGCCCCCCCCCCCGCCCATCTCTCTGAAGATAAAAGGAAAAATATCCTCAGGTGAAGATTAAAAAACAAAAACAAACAAAAAAAGATTCACTCTTTGTCTTTAACCTTTTACATTTTTGTGATGATGTGTCTTGGTGTGGGGCTCTTGGGGTTCATCTTGTTTGGGACTTTCTGTGCTTCCTGGACTTGTATGTCTGTTTCCTTCACCAAGTAGGGAAGTTTCTTTCATTATTTTTTCAAATAGCTTTTCAATTTCTTGCTCTCTCTCTTCTCCTTCTGGCATCCCCATGATGAGAATGTTATGTTTGAAGTTGTCCCAAAGACTCCTTACAGTTTGCCTTTTTTTTATTTTTTATTCTTTTTTCTTTTTGCCATTCTGATTGTTTTTTGCTTTCTTATATTCCAAATCGATTGTTTGCTTCCTGGCTTCACTTACTCTACTGATTCCCTGTAAATTATTTTTATTTATTTTTTATTTTTTTATCCTCACCCGAGGACATTTTTCCATTTTTTGTTTAGATAGAGTGGGAGGGAGAGGAAGAGAGAGAGAGAGAGAGAGAGAAACATCGACGTGAAAGGGACACATCAAGTGGCTGCCACCCGCACGGCCAACCAGGGCTGGGGACAAACTGCAACCGAGGTATGTGCCCTTAGCGGGAACCGAACCCGGGTCTCTCTGGACCGCAGGCTGACGCTCTAACCGCTGAGCTCAACCGGCCAGGGCAGATTCCCTGTAAATTATTTTTTATTTTAGTTAGTATATCCTTCATTTCTAACTGGTCCTTTTTATGCTCTTGAGGTCCTCACAAAATTCATTGAGCAACCTTTTTTTTAAAATTTTTTTTCTTAATTTTTTAATTGGTTTATTTAGGGAAAGGAAAGGAGAGGGAGAGAGAGATAGAAACATTGATGAGAAAGAACATTGATTGGCCTACTCCTGCATGCCCCCCACTGGGGATCGGACCCACAGCCTGGGCATGTGCCCTGACTGGGAATCAAACCGGTGACCTCCTGGGGCATGGGTCAATACTCAGCCACTGAGCCACACTGGCTGGACTCGTTGAGCATCCTTATAACAGTGTTTTGAATGCTGCATCAGTTAGATTGCTTATGTCCATTTCGTTTAGTTCTTTTCTTGTAGTTTTGTTCTGTTTTTTCATCTGGGACATGTTTCGTTGTGTCCTCATTTTGGCTGCCTCTCTGTGTTTGTTTCTATGTATTAGGTAAAGTTGCTATGTCTCCTGGGCTTCCCAGGGTGGCCTATTGTAGTAGGTGTCTTGTAGGGTCCAGGTGCAAAGCCTCCCGGTCACCCCAGGTGGGCACTCAAGACACACCCCTCATGTGGACCATCCACCCTTCTGTTGTAATTGAGTCTTGATTGCTGTTGGCACATCAGTGGGAAGGATTTACTCAGGCTGATCAGCTGCAAGGACTGGCTGTGCCCACTGACCACTGGCCTCTGACTACCTTGGAGGATCAGCTGCACAAGGGCCCACCACACAGAGCAAGATTTACTTCATCAGGGCTCTGGTACCCACTGAGTCCACTCATTGAGTGTGTCACTTGTGGAGGTGGTAGGGTGTTGGTGCTTCGATGTGATCTGAGGCTGTCCACTGGGTGTGCTGGCTCTGGGGCAAGGTCAGCCACTGCCTGGTGTTCTGTCCAGGGCCACCTGGCATAAGCTACAGAGTGATCTGCTGAAGGCTGCTGTTTGTGCTGGGCTGGGAGGTGCCCAGGTTAAGCCAAGCTGTGAACCGAGGCTGGCTGCTTTTAGTGCCTAGGGCTACTTAGAGAGAGGTATGGGGCTCACTGAGGCCAGATGGTGCTTGTTTGAGAGAATTTTAGAAAATCTGAAGCAGGAGCCAAGACAGGCCAATCCTATGGTAAAGCCACTAGAAACAGCTTGGGTGGGGCAGGGCCTCAGGAAATCACCAGGGTGGGGCAAACAGTGTAAGTCAGGTTGCTGGAGTCCCAGATATGGCACTTGTCTGCGAGCCTCTTGGTGGGCCTCCTGGGGGAAGGGCTCACCAGAGGAACAGAGGCCTCTGCCAGCACGTCTGTCCCAGAGAAAACTGCCTCTCCAGCTCTCATCCCAATGCCAAACCACTCAGTTCTTCCCTGTATGTCTCAGGTGCCTTTCAAGCTGCCTCCTGCACACTGGAGCCTGGAGGGAGCGGGCCCTTTAGGAGGAACTGCCTGGGGTTCCAGCAGCCTCAGCCTCCCTCACCCTCAGTTCCCCCAGGTTTTTTGTTTTTTTTATCCTCACCCGAGGACATTTTTTGATACTTTGTTTTCAGATAGATTGGGAGGGAGAAAGAGAGAGAAACATCGACATGAAAGGGACATATTGAGTGGTCGCCACCCACATGACCCAACCAAGGCCGGGACAAACTGCAACCGAGGTTCATGCCCTTAGCGGGAACCGAACCCGGATCTCTCCAGACCGCAGACCGACGCTCTACCTCTGAGCCAAACCGGCCAGGGCTCCCGCAGGTTTTTAACAGCCAGAAGTTATGGGGACTTCTCTTCCTGACACTGGAACCCTGAACTGGGTGACCTGGTGTGGGACAGGGATCCCTCACTCCTCAGGCAGGACCTTCCCAGCTGAGGCATCTCCTGAAATTTATCTGCCACATGTGGGTGTGGGACCAGCCTGTCCGCATCCCTGCCCTGCTCTTACCAGTCTCCATGTGGCTTCTTCTTTAATTTCATAGTTGTAGGACTTCCATTCAGCTCCATGTTAGTTAGTTCTGAAGGATGTTTGTTCTGTAATTTAGTTGTAATTTTGATGTGGTTGTGGGCGGAGGCGAGTATTGTGTTAACTTACGTCGCCATCTTGTGTGGAAGTCTCTCTGTTATATTTTCTTTTAATTATATAGACACACTCACACTCCTATGTACAAACATAATTTCTTGGAGAGAAAATAGGAAATACACCAAAATGTTACAGTGTTTTCTCTTTGTTTAATAAAACTCTGAAGATGTTTCTAACAAGATGTTTTTCAAATCTTCTAAGATGTATGTATGTGATTTTTTGGTTCTATGAGAGCAACATATACAAAAATGTAGTACCCTAAAGGGTTATTTACCTGTAAAATATGCTCTGATGATCACTTTATAACAATAATACTGTGTTACTTTTGTTAGAATTTGGAAAAGGGATAGTTTGATTTTAACAATAAAATTAGAGGGGAGGGGAAAACTTACCATTTCTTTTTCTGTCAAATTAAACTGGGAAAAGAGAGGGCTTATTCAGATTCTGCCATGCTTTGCTTTGGAATTCGTTATAGTCATGTGAAAGAGTCCTCTGCCAAGATTATCAACCTCTTTACCCCCCAAAATTTTAATATAAGAAAACCCAGAGCTTGGCAAGATTGCTTTTTTTTTCCCCTGTGCTTTTGATCTTGTCTGTAGGGAAGAACGAAACCAGACCCAGGTGCTGAGGCAGCAACAGGATGAAGCCTATCTGGCCTCTCTCAGGGCTGACCAGGAGAAAGAAAGAAAGAAACGTGAGGAGCGTGAGCGGAAGCGGCGGAAGGAGGAGGAAGTAAAACAGCAAAAGCTGGCAGAGGAGAGACGGCGGAGGGTAATGAACCTGTCTCTCTACTCCTGACAGCTCCCAAACCAATCTTTTCATTATTATTATTATTTTATTGATTTTAGAGAGAGGAAGGGCAGGAACGAGAGAGAGAGACACCAACTGGTTGCCTGCCACACATACCCTGACTGGGATTGCAACCCGCTACCTTTTGGTACAGGATGACGCTCCAACCAACTGAGCCACACCAGCCAAGCCAAACCTGTCTTTTCTTGACTGTGAAAGGAAAAATACTAGGAGATGATGGGATTGTGGGTGATTTAAATTCTCCTTGCCATTTTTATATTTACTACATTTTTACAAAAAGTATTTTTAAATATATAAAGACTGTAATTAAAAAATACAAGAGTGAGTAAAAGGCAGAACAGCACTGTTCATTGAAAAGTAAATATAAGTAATAAACTGTTCACAGTGCTATTTATTCACAGCAGTAATTTTTAAGCATTCTTGCCATTGTTGGCTCATTTGGCATTTCATTCATGGTCTCGTTTCATTATGTATTATCACCTGATTATAGCCAGTGTCCCCTAGTCATTCCCTTTAATTCGAACCGCTCAATATGTAAATACAGTCAATAAATAGTATATGTGATGCAATAGTGCTTTGAATTCTGTTGTTTCTGACTCTTGCCAAGTTTTTCTGGTGTTGTTAGTTATTAAATTTTTTTTTTACCGCACAATAGACCTACATGGTGATTGTATTTTCTATTTCTCTGTTGTGGCCATAGCCTTACCTTTGCTTTTCGTTTCTACAGAATTTACAGGAGGAAAAGGAAAGGAAGTTGGAATGCCTGCCCCCAGAGCCTTCCCCTGATGACCCTGAAAGTGTCAAGATCATTTTCAAATTACCCAATGATTCTCGAGTAGAGAGACGATTCCACTTTTCACAGTCTTTAACGGTAAGGACTGCCTAAGCTCTGTGATGTGGATGTAGTCTGGCCTGTAGACTTGGAGGCTTTTAAGGAATTGCTAGAGTGTTGGTGATATATCTGCTGCTCTGATGAACCAGGGAGGAAGGGAAGTAGAGAGAAGGTGGGGAGTACAGTGAATGACTATAGATGCCTTCAGTTCTAGCTGCCAACTCAAAGCAGTATTAAGGGTTCCTTTTATCATGTTTGAACTCGGCTAAGAAAATAAGGTACCTTACCAAGAAGTCCCCCAAAAGACTGTGTGTTTGAGGTGAGGGACTCATTGAGGTGAGCATAACCATTGCTCTGTAGAGAAAGCTCTGTCTCCACTGACCTAGGAGCCCCTGTATCGCACATCTGAATAGAAAAGCATGTGCATTTCTCATGCAGTTGTCACTCTCCCTTTCTGCCCATGCAGGCCCTATGAAACCCTCCTTTGTGGGGCTGCCTTGTAAATCTGCACCCATAGGTAAATAGTGTTTGTCATTCCATAAGGAAGTACTTAAAAGTGGATACTTTTATTAAAGTCTTACAGAATGAGGATCAAATTCTCATTCTTCCAGGGTTATTAGATGTGTTTCTTTGGTCAGTTGTCTTCATCTCTAAGCCTCAATTTCTTCATCTGTAACATAGGTATAATAAGCATTCTCTAATAGGATTGTTGTTAGGATTAAATTTATATGTAAAATGTTCAGCATTGTGCCTGTCTCATCGTAAGTCAAATGCTAACATAGTTTTGATATTTATAACAAAAAAGAAGTTTGTTTCTATTGAGAGTTGATTTTCCAAATTTATAATTGCAGTAGATTCTGTCATTTTCCTTTTCCTGATCACTGGAAATAGGGGTAATTGCATACTAGAAATGAGGATGCACTGGAGTCAAGTAAGGCTTGCTAGCACACTTATTTATTTATTTAATCCTCATCTGAAAATATTTCTCTATTTATCTTCAGATAAAGTGGGAGGCAGGGAGGGAGAGAGAGACACATCGACTGGTTGCCTCCTATACAACCGAGGTACGTGCCCTTGACCGGAATCAAACCCACCACGACTCATTGGTCCACATGCCAGCACTCTAATCACTGAACAAAACCGGTCAGGGAGCTAGCCCATTTATTATGTCTCCTTGTTTAACTGGAGAACACTGAACATGTTGCAGTATTTTTTACAGGATAGCCCTTATATAAAATAGAAATAGTAATCTGCCCTCAGATAACTTTATTTATTTATTTTAAGTTTTTTATTTTTATTTTATTTTTTTTATCCTCACTTGAGGACTTTGTGTGTGTGTGTGTGTGTGTGTGTGTGTGTGCGCGCGCGCGCGCGCATTTATCTTCAGATAGAGTGGAGGGAGAGAGGGAGGAAAAGAGAGAAAGAAACATCGATGTGAGAGAGACACATCGAGTAGTTGCCACCCACACGACCCCAACCGGGACTGGGGACAAACTGCAGCCGAGGTACGTGCCCTTAGCGGGAACCGAACCCAGGCCTCTCTGGTCTGCGGGCTGACGCTCTAAACACTGAGCCAAACCGGCCAGGGCTGCCCTCAGATAACTTTAAACTGAAGATATGTCAGGCACTGTACTTAGCACTCTAGGGGTTATACTGATGTGTGAGATGTGGTTCTGGAATTCATGGAGCTTACTGTAAGTCAGTAGGGAATGTAAGACTCAAAGAGCTAATACTGAGTAAAAGGGTATGAGCCATTCTGGTGAGTAAAAAGCAAAATAGCTTCCCCCTTGTATTTATCTTTCATTTACATATATTGGGAAACTACTCACATCTCTAGCTTTGGAATTTTTTTTTTTTATCTATCATCACCCAAGGACATTTCTGCATTCATCCTCAGATGGAGCTGGAGGGAGAGAGAGAGGAAGAGAGAGAGAAACATTGATGTGAGAGAGACACATCGAGTGGTTGCCACCTACTCAACCCCAACTGGGGCCGGGGCAAACTGCAACCGAGGTACATGCCCTTAGTGGGAACCGAACCAAGGTCTCTGGTCTGCGGGTCGATCCTCTAACCACTGAGCAAAACCGGCCAGGGGGCTAACTTTGGATTTTTTAAATTGGGATGAAGTGAACAAGCTTCACACAACACCTGCCATGTAGTAGGTGGTTACTAAGTGATATTCTTTTCCTGGTATATTTCCTAACCCCTGGTTTGCATGTGGCTTGTAGCTTGTAACTGTACTCACTAACAGTTTTGCTGTAGTATACTGGAGCTCCTCCTCCCCAAACTCTCATTAGGTACGTGAAAAACCTAACCAAAATTTACTCTCTGGAGGGTTTTGCAGGAAAATCAATAGGCTTGTAGCCAAAGGGGATGCAACCCATTTGTTAATTATTTCATGCTTAAAGGCTTTTAGGTTCTCAATAAAAGTTATTTAAGAAAACAGAAAACAAATTCCAAACTGAGAAATACTTGGTCATAAATGGGGACAAGGCCAGGTGAAGTAGTGCAGTGCTAACCTTTATTTTGTTATATATAGTTAATAACCTATAGCCGAATAATTGATAGTTTTTTAATGCTCTTGCCAACTTTGTGTCATCTTCCTGTGAGCTCTGCCCTTTATAAATAATCTCAAGGAGGAGTGACTATTCAGTGAAATAGGTTGCACATAATACCCAGCTCTTGCTGGTGGTAAAATGCTAAGATCACAAAGGATAAACTGTAGAATAATCTCTAGGACCCATGAGTAGGCAGAAAAGTACCAGCTGACTTTCTCTTAAATGATGTGTATACGAGAGAATCCAAATTATACTCAACCCAGAACTCATTTTTCTCTTAATTACAAAACAAAGGGGACCTTTTGAGATACTCTGTTTCCTATTGCCCAGTGGTAACAAAAAGTTCCAGTTTTGTACCAAGGTTCAGAACAGTAGTCCTCCCACCCCCCTCTGCTTTATCTGTGCTTTCAGTTACCCATGATCAATTGTGGTCCGAAAATATTAAATAGAAAATTTCAGAAACAAAAAATTCATAAGTTTTAGGCTACCATTCTGAGTAGCATGATGAAATTTTGCTCTGCCCTGCTCAGGACGTGAATCCCTTTGTCCAGCATACTCATGCTGTATATGCTCCCTGCTCCCCATCTTGGTTGTCAGAGAGAGAGAAACCACATTCATATAACTTTTATTATAGTATATTGTTATAATTGTTCTATTTTATTATTGTTGTTTATCTCTTACTGTGCTTAATTCATAAGTTAAACTTTATCATAGGTATACCTCTGTAGGAAAAATAGCATATATAATATATATAGGGGTTCAGTACTCTTCACAATTTCAAGCATCCACAGAGGATCTTGGCACATATTCCCACAGATAATGGGACTGCTGTATTCTCAAGCAGTGACTGAGAAGAAAATAGTATTCCAAAGTTGGATTCATACCAAGAATACTTGGTGCAAGTCTAATTGATGCATCTCAGAAAGGAAAAGGAGAATGAATGTTAATGGTTGCAAAGAGTCAGAGACAGGAACTGAAAATGATTGATGTTGATAGACTAAAATATAAAAAGTTAAAATTATGAATAATTAGATAATAGGATCATGGATTTACTCCTTAAGTCCTGGAATTTTTAGCCCTTTAATGCTCTAAGGAAGTAAGATCAAGACAAATGAAGGAAGAACTGCTTCACACAGAGGGGAGTAAATTTACGAGAGGTGGAACAAAACAGAGAAATTGGCCCTGGCCGGTTTGGCTCAGCGGTTAGAGCATCGGCCTGCGGACCAGAGAGGCCCGGGTCCCTTTCCCTCTAAGGGCACATACCTTGGTTGCAGTTTGTCCCCAGCCCCAGTTAGGGTTGTGTGGGTGGCAACCACTCGATGTGTCTCTCTCACATCAATGTTTCTCTCTCTTTCTCTTCCTCCCTCTCTCCCTCCTGCTCTGAAGATAAATGCAAAATGTTCTCGGGTGGAGATAAAAAAAAAAAATAGAAACTGATTCCCTCACAAAGCCAAGATAGTTTGAATGATGTGTTTCTAATCTTGGGGCCGACCCTATAAGAGGTTAGCAATGCCTTCACAGTGTATCCGTTAGAGTCTTTGTTAGTCACTTTGCTAGAACACTAGATGAAGAGGGCCAGAGAGTGGATCCTCCAGTATGCCTGTTCTTAGTGTGTGGCAGTAAGAGACAAAAAGATGAATATGTCCTATTCCATAGGTATCTCACATTTTAAGTTTTAGCAATGTGAGTTTTCCTGGTGTTGCCTTACTTCTGGTTGATAATTTACCTATGCCTTGTCGGAGCCCGAGCAGGGTGAGAAGGGCATTCCCACAGAAAGGTCCATGTGGAAGATCTCAGTCAAATTGAGGAGGGTGTCCACATGTGGGGGCAGCCCATTGCTGAGAAGTCAGAGTTTATGTGGCCCAGGGTGGGGTAAAGCCAGAACTGGGTAAGGAGAGGGGATGAACTCATGGGTTTGTTTTTTTTTCCCTTTATTGATTTTCAGTGAGAGGTAGAAACTATGAGAGAGAACACTGACTGGCCGCCTCCTGCATGTGCCCTGACCAGGAATCGAACCGGCAGTCTCTCGGTGCATGGGCCGATACTCAACCACTGAGCCACACCGGCTGGGCATGGTTTTCAATATATGTGTATAGCAGTCTAGCATATAGATGTAGATGTGTAGTATGTGCATATATTCTCCAGCTTTCTCCACAGAAAGTGCTTGGGAGCAGCAACACCCCAATGGCAGTGAACATACCTAGCACCTAGAATGTGGCTTTTCTTACCATTATTCATTAAGAAGAACCAGGGATCCTTAGAGAAATGGCTGCTTCCAGGACTGGAGCAGGGGAAACACAAGATAAGCCTGGAACACCTTGTGCCTCAAAACAAATAATTATTCAGAGAACAAGGGAGACATGTCAGCAAGACACAAGCCAGCTTAAATGGGCTTTTTCTGACTCCATCTGAAACAATTTGGACATTAAAATAAATAATGATTGTAATATTATAACCTACTGAATAAAATAAGAAATCACGACTCTACAGTAATACAATATAAATAAATAAAATTTGAGGAACAGAATGTCTCCATAGTTTAAAAGTACAGCCCCACAAAATACACATTAGTTACAAAGGGAAAAAGAATAACTTTGTGGAGAAGCCTGGCAGGTGATCAAAGTGAGTATCATAGGTAGTAGGACCAGTAGAAATGTGCTCCACCTGAGTAGGATACATCACATGGACTGCAGCAGCATTTCTGGAATACCCTTGCCAAAGAGGTATAACTGAAATCTGATCATAACAAAGTAACGCCCAGCGTCAAGGTCAGGAAAGACTGAGAATTTGCTACAGGCTAAAGGAGATAGGAATGTGACAACTAAATGGAATACAGTGTTCTCAACTGGATTTGATTTGATGGCTGTATTATGGTTATGGAGGAGAGTATCCTGTTTGTAAGACATACACAAGTATTCTAGGGTGATGGGATATCAGGTTGGCAGCTCACTCTCAACTGGTTCAAAGGAAAAAACCCTTTGTGTCCTAAACTTCCAACTTTTCTGTAACTCTGATTCATTTTTTTTTAATCCTCATGCAAGGCTATGTATTTGTTGTTGTTGTTGTTTTGGTTAATTGATTGGCTGCCTTCCGCACAACCCCGATTGGGGCCAGGGATTGAACCTGCAACCCTTTGGGCTGATGCTCTAACCACTGAGCAAAACTGGCCAGGGCCATTTTTACTGAATTTAGAAAGAGAAACACTAATTGCTTGCCTCCCATATGTGCCCCAACCAGGGATTGAACCTGCAACCTAGGTATGTGCCCTGACTGGGAATTGAACCTGCAAGCTTTTTGGTGTGCAGGACGACATTCCAACTAGCTGAGCCACCCGGCCAGGGCTGTGATTATTGCCAAGTAATAATCAGACAAGTTGTCAAAGAAGAAACAGGTGAATGAATTCAGAGTAGGACTAGCATTGGGCTGTGTAATAAATCTCTTAAAAGAGTTGCCCTACCAATTTGCTCTTTGAAATGGCAAGACCTTGAAGCAGAATTCCAATGTAATGTGATTACTTCATGTCTCAAAGTCATGGAGAGAACTGGGGGATACTGGATTTCATGGTGGTGTGTGAACATTTGTCTTTTTCTTAGCATCCTTCATTTTTTATATGACCTCTACAGGTAATCCACGACTTCTTATTCTCCTTGAAAGAAAGCCCTGAAAAGTTTCAGATCGAAGCTAACTTTCCCCGGCGGGTGCTGCCTTGCATCCCTTCAGAGGAGTGGCCCAACCCCCCAACGCTGCAGGAGGCGGGACTCAGCCACACAGAAGTTCTCTTTGTTCAGGACCTAACAGACGAATGATACTTTTCTTCCTCTCCCCTCCCACCCCAATTCCTAAAAGAAATGGGAAAAAAAAAAAAGAAAAAAATTCACATTATTATTATTATAATACAATATTTTTTTTAAAGACTGCTACATCCTAAGGAAGGATCAGAAACCATGCTGCCTGCAAGAGTCATCACCTGTGTGCGTGCGTGAGGTTAGTGATGAACGTTCCAGCCGGCAGTCTGCCTTCCCTGCTGCCTTTGCACCACACACCTTCCAGCGAGGGGGGCTCTTCACCTCCAACCCAGCCATTGTCCCAGCAGGGAAGGGGACATTCCCACTAGTTCTCATTCATTCTTGCTTTTATGGAAAATAGAAGTGACAAACCTCCATCAACCAGCTACTGCAGCATCTCCTAAGAACTTGTTTCTCCCACCTCTGGAGAAGAGAGGAAAGAGAAGGCACAGAGCAGAGATGTTTCTTAAACTTCCCACAATTTATGAATAACTTTAAAATTTTTTTCTGTTGCTTTGTAATGACCAAAGGAATGAGGCTGACATAGGTGTATTTTTCCCCCTATTATTTGATAAAGAGCCAATTCTTAAACCCATCACATGATTTCATGCCCTGGGTTCCTTAGCCCACAAGAGGGTAATAAAGGTGCCCCTGGCTGGTTTGTGCTTATTTCTGCCATCGCCCTCTCAGGTTCCCAGAGAGGTCATTCTTTTTGGTCCAACTCTTGCTGTCCTTTCTTGTCACCTATGCACCCCACTTGGAGCAGTGGAAATCTGGGTTTGCAAAGGCTATGGTGTACAGATACCACCCATGTGTGCAGTGTGAACTCCATGTATACTCAACCTGCACACATACTGCAGCTTTTCCTTGGAATCTGTACCATGTGGTTATTCCAGGGTCTGAACCAAAGGATAGCAGCTCTTCATTCCTCTTCTGATGTGTGCATGCTGTTCCTGCCCAGCCCTGAGCTTTCCTGAATTGCCAAGCTTGGTGCCTTTCCAAAGGCTAGCAGGGCCATGGGAGAGTACCCTGCCTGTCTCAGTGGGCATGTGTTGGTGGTGGTGGTGGTGGTGGTCTTTTAAGGGTAGAAAGAATAGAGGCCTTGAGAGGAGTCAAGGCAGAACTCCCAGGCTGAGTCAACTATTAGAAGGCAAGTTTCAGTTTCTGATGTAGCCACCTGCAGGAGGCAGTTTTTATTCTCTTCCTTTATTGCTGTGTTGAAGTAACAGGGTTTTCTAACCTCTGGGTGTCTTGTCTGTGGTTGAGTTTATAGTAATGGGTACTTGGGTCAGGCCATGTATTAACAGATGCCAGCATAAAGCTGACAAGTATTCCAAAGTGTTCTGTGGCTAGACTGGTGCCCTCATAACATTGCAGCCGACTGAAGTCACTGTAGTTCTGGCATGCTGTGAGACCAAGGGGTTCATATCAAGATAAAGCATAACTTGCTGGATTCTAGTCTCCAAAGGCTTGCTCTGTTGCTTAACTAAAACCGGAGGACCACTCTTAGGTAGCAGGAACTTGGCTACCATTCTCTGCAGCCTCCGTGGTTGGAGTGCACCCCAGAGGCAGGGTGAGGAGCCTCATGGATACCACCTAGGGAAACTAAGACTTTTCCAGTGGCCTTGGCATGGGTGTTTAGAACACCATCTCTAGAAAATTTAATTCTGCTTCTGGCTGCCTATTATTCCACTTTATTTCCTATTGTCCCAAGGCCATATGAGCAGGAAATCGCTTTTTATCATCATAAAATGTACCTAGAGTGAACATGAGGATAAATCGTGTTCTCCTCTCAACCTTGTGTGAAATCTCCCTGCTGACAACTATGCAAAGAGGAACTTTTCCACTAGGAGCCTCCCTCCCTGATGAGTTCAGTGTTTCCCTGGCAGCGCACAGGAAGGGATGCAGGAACTGGTGAGGCTGGGTGTGCCATCTTGACCATACCTCTTTGGGAAGTTGTAAATTTTTTTCCTTAATAATTCAGTCTGCATCTTATTCTACAATGTGCACTTTATGCCTCTTGCCTTTTGATAACTTGTTCAATGAAGGAGGTCAAATGCCAGAATATTAAAAAATTTCTGTTTTTGTCGGTACAACTCTTGGGACAGCCTCTGCCTTTAGGTTTCCAGAGGATTCTGAAGCATATGCTCCTTTCCTAGTCCAGGTTGAAATAGCCTAGACCTATTCCTGTCTCCATGCTGACCCTAAGCTACTGCTAGGTGCCATCTCCTTTCCTCCCTGAAAGATCCACACTTTGTCAACGCAGTGCAATCTGTGTGTTACTCCCAAGGACCTCTGGGAACGCAGTGGGACCTGCAAGGGAGAAAACATTGAGAAGCCGGTGATCTGCAAGCGTTTGCTCTGATTTCAAATCACCTATGGGTAATAAGAGCTCTTGTTTCCAAATGGCAAGTCATCAACTAAGCGAAAACACTTGTTTCAAGTTTCCTTCTGCACTCCCAAGACTGAAGTTGTAGATACAGCTGCATGACCATGGGGAATGATCAAGCAAAGACACCCAACCCAGTTGGATTTAGTTGAATTTCTGCAACCTCAGTGGGGGCCCTTCTAGTGTTTTCTTCTACTTCTGCAGAATTTCCTGCAGCAAATATTTCTTTCCCCTGCTTGCCTCCACTATGTTTGGATGAGAGATGGCCAGGGGAGAATATTTATCTCTTTAAAAAAAAAAAAAAAAAGCTAAAAGGAACCTAGGAAATCTTCAACTGAGCAGTTATGAAAATTGCTAATGGTGCCAAGGCCAAGGAAAGAATTTCAGAAAATGACAATGGGAAGGGGTGCTAATCCCCAGAATGCAGAATCGAGGGAGTATTTCTGGTGCTTGAACAAGAAGCTCCACTTCACAACCGGTCTTTTCAGGGCTTGTGAGGAACGCAGCGACAGGAAATCCATCCACAGAGGATGCAGTGCCCCAACTTGGACTGCTCCTGAATAGTTACATGTAATTTACTGAAGAAATCTAGTGTCCTTTAAATTTTTTTCATAAAAGTTTACATTGTATTGTAGGTTAACATTAAATGTTTTATAACAAAATTTCATAAGTTGTGGGTCTTTCTGTCTAGGAAAGAGGTGGTAGATGTTTTTCTGTATGTGAAGAAATGGTTGCAAAACATTGGGAAGGGAACGGCATTGAATTGCCAAGAAGCAAGAGAGAATCAAAGAAGCACAGACTTAAAGGAGACCCGGAGTGATTCCTGTGAAGAACAGCGACTCTGGCAGGGTGGTGTAGTAGAGCACAGATCTGTGTTCAAGCTTGAGCTCTGTCATTTGTCAGCTTTGTGACCTCAGGAAAGTTCTTTAGTGTCCTTGAGCTTTAATTTCCATGAAGGTAACGCTATCTTCCTCAGCATAGGTTTATAGATTAAATCGAAGAAATGTGCATGAAGCACCCATTACAGAGATTTTCCTCCTCCTTGGGAGTGTGTTTTGAAGGACTGTTTTCTTGCAGTAATAACTCAGTTTATTAGGGAGTGTCATTTCTGCCAGAACAGACCCATGTGTCCTTGCAAAGGAGTAACTAGAGAAGTCACTTTTGATCTAACAAATTCTGGACTAAGGGAACTCTCCTCCTAAGGTGTTTTTGCATATATTTTCATTTCTGAGAGGAAATTTGGGCCTCAATTCTTTGCCTTTTCCCCACTGCCCTGTGCAAAGAGCTCATTCCAGTGAGTTAGGATTCTTGTTACCTTCAGGGTCTTCCCTGTTGCTTATCCAAAGATGTGAGGCCTTCATGTTTTAACATGCATCCTAAGTGTAAACTAAAATGTTATCTGCTCAGTCTCAAAAGTCTGCAAGAGTTTATCCATTTTAGGTCAGAATCCACTAAGAATGAACATTTTACAATTGATTGTGAAGCTTACATATAAAAATTTGGCTATCAGTTAAGAGTCCGGGAAGATTCAAACCCTGATACCGGATACGCTGGGTCCTAAATCCTGCCTGTGGCCATGATTGCAGTCAAGTGACCTCAACTCTAAGCTTCAGTGTCATCTGTAAAATAGGGCTGATTGTAGCATTGCTGTTGATCAGAGGGCCTGGCACATGGTAGGCATTTGATAAATAATACCTCCTATTACTGTTCCAAACAGTTGGTAGTTTGCCCACTGCTAATGGTTTGCCCTAGATATGGTTAACTGGAGGAGAGAGGAAGGGAAGAGGGTTCAGTTGAAGCTTCACTTAGGGGCAGATTATGCTGGATGCTTCTTGACGAGCCTTCAATGCTGCAGTTGGAACTTGTGTGCTTTTACCCCGATGGCGCCATGAGTACCCAGAGTCCCTCAGCCTGTGAGTTCAGCTACCGCAGTGCTGGGCCTCTCCCACCTTCCACAGCCCCACCTGCTCCTGGTCACTTCCCTTGCTAACTCTCAGAATGGTGTTTAGAACTCCCAGATTTTCCCCCTGAAACTGAAACATAGGTTCCCATGAATCTTGGCACCAGGAGGCAGGGTCTGTATTTCTCTTCTGCCACCTTGATGCACTGTCCTGAAGCACATGCCGTATCCTGGGACTAGCCCATTCCAGTTGCTACTGGCCATTCCCCAGATGTTGACAACTGACACTACCACAACCTAGTGGCTCACATCTCCATGTGTGGGTTCTCTATGCTGCTCCTGGTGTGACTGTGGCAGCTGAATATGGTGGGAAGAGACTGGAGTCGAGTCTGGCTTTGAAATTGCTGTTTGCTGACTGATGAGGGCACATTTTACCATATGCAAACACTAAATCCTTGCAGTGTTCAGGTGCCCTTACACAGGCTGGTATCTGTGAAGTGCCTGGTGGTGGGTAGATAGATGCCGAGTAAATGTTCTCTTCCTTCCCTTCTGTCCCTCCCAGCAGTGCCATGCTTTGAGCATGGCCTTCACTTGGAACTGCTTCACCCTCAGGAACTTAGAACCAATTCCTCGCACACCATAGCCTTGATGGTTCCAACGCCACAGTCCCTCCTCTACTCTCAAAGCCTTTCTGTCCCTCTCCGCTCATCCCAGTTCTCTACTAGAATTGTCTTGGCTTCACGCCCCTCCTGTTCACTGCAAGCTAGTACTCAGTCGCAATTCCTAGTCTACTCAGTTGTTAAGCTGCAGACTCCTAGCATCTATCACAGCAAAGTGAGCCCTGGGTTGGTGCCCACACCTTTGATCCAGTTCTAGGGAACTCCCCTGGGTGTTTCTGCTGCGTGGGCTCACTCCACTGTCTGCCTCGCTCAGGCCTGAGGGACCGGCATCCTTTCCACTCCGAGCTGCTTACTACAACAGCCTACTTCCTGAGAAAACAGGTCACAACCTCTTCCTTTCTCACCTCAGACTTGTTCTGTGATATCACCTGCTTCCTCTTTCTCTTGTCTTGTGGATGTATTTTCTTTTTTTAAAGAGATAATTAGCACAGTAAAATGTTCAGATCTTAAATCTACAGCTTGACAAAATTTTACCTGTGTACCCCAAAACCAAGATGCAGAATACTTCATTCACCCAGAAAGTTTCCTCTCCCTTGTATGTCTTCTCAGTCAATGGTCCCAAGAGCCACTATTCTGACTTCTTTCACCATAGAAGTTTTGCCTGTCCTTAAACTTCATATAAATGGACTCAGTGTGTGTAGATGATTTCATAAACTTCCTGATTCAAGTATTTTCCTATTTACGATGGGAAATTTTAGGAAATTAGAAAAAAAAATTAACGTAGTACACCACATTGCCTGGAGATGGCCATTGTTAACATTCTTCCCTGACTTTTTGTTGCATATAAGACTTTTTTTACAGAAATGGGATAATATTGTAAACACTGTATTATCTCTATTTCACACCTGTCTTTGATCTTTTTAATGGCTATGCAGCACTTCACTGAATGGATGTACCATAAATTGATAAAAATCCTCTTGTGACATTTAGATTGTTAAAGTTTTTTTTTTCTTTTCTATATAGCAGGTTGATAACCTTGCCCAGCCAGTGTGGCTCAGTTGATTGAGCGTCGTCCCATGCACCAGGAGGTCGCAGGTTCGATTCCCGGTCAGGGCACATGCCCAGGTTGTGGGCTCGATCCCCAGTAGGGGGTGTGCAGGAGGCAGCTGATCGTGGTTTCTTTCTCATCGATGTTTCTCTCTCTCCCTCTCCCTCTCTCTCTAAAAATCAATAAAAACTTATTTTTTTAAAAAAATTTGCATGTCCATGCTTATTTTTTCAGGGAAAAAATATCCTAAATATGAAGTTACTGAGTCAAAATAAGAATGGAAATTTTTTCCTTTTTAAAATGTTCTATCTCTAAATTGTAGTATAGAAAATTATACTTCCAATAGCAGTGCTCAGTCTCCCATCTGTGTCACCATTATCAAAACCTTTACCAACAACTATCATCTCCTTTTCAATTGCTTGGATTTTTTTATTGTCCATCAAAAATTGTTTGACACCAGGTCGGCGTGGCACAGTGGATTGAGTGTCCCAGTTCTATTCCGTGTCAGGGCCCATGCCTGGGTTTCGGGCTTAATCACCAGTAGGTGGCATGCAGGAGGCAGCTGATCGATATTTCTCTTACATCGATGTTTCTCTCTCTCCCTTTCTCTCTAAAATATCAATTTAAAAAATACTAAAAAAAATGTTTGGCATCTCCTCCCTTACAAAATCTTAACCTTGCTGTATCCACGGGTTACCAACCTGTTCCTTCCCTGACAAGGTAGTTGCACCACCAGCTTCCACTTCCTTCTTAATTTCATCTCCACTGACCATCTCTCAGGGTCACCTATGACCTAATTACCACTTTCTTGGCCTTTTTCAAGACGTTTTTGAATGTAGTTTCCCAGCTGGTACCTGACATGGAGTAAGTGGCCCCTGTTCTCACATGTGAACTAGATTAAGAAATTTATACTTGATCCTGAGGGCCACTGGGGAGCTTTAAGCAAGGGAGACACATCAGATTTGGGTTTCTGAAAGCTAGTTCTGTCACTGTGGAGAGACTGGATAGGACAGCAAGCAAGATAAAGGTGACATGAAGTTTGGATTAGGAGTTGCATGGGATGGAGAGAAGCTAGTGGTGGACTTGAACACTGCAAGACACGATAGCCAAGACTTGGAGGCTGACCAGATATGAACAGGCAAGAAGGAAGAAATTAGATGATACCCAGGTTTCAAACAACTGGATTTAGGAATGAAGTCACTGGTGACCTTGATATGTGCTATTTCAGTGGAGTACAGTGTCAGAAGGCAGCAGTAGTCAATAGAAGGGGAAGTGGAAAGATTGAATATGGGCAGCTCTCAAAAGTCTGTTGGTGAAAGGTATGGGGCACACAGGACAAGCTAGAGAGGAGTCAGGACTGAGGAAGGGTCCTTATTTGTTTTAAGGTAGGAGAAACTTAATTATGTTTAAATGCTAAAAGCCATGAAATTCTTTTTGTTGTTAATCCTCACCCAAGGATATTTTTTTCCATTGATATTTTTAGATAGAGGGGAAGGGAAGGAGGGAGAGAGAGACACATCAGTTGGTTGCATCCCACCCAGCCCCTACTGGGGCTGGGGATCAAACTTGCAACCCAGGTACGTGCCCTTGACCAGGAATCAAACCTATAACCCTTTGGTCCATGGGCCAATGCTGGGCCAAACTGGCCATGGCAAAGCCATGAAATTTTAGAGAAAGAATGAAGATACACAGAGAAAGATGTCACTGGGGTGGTGGGAGGAGTGGGCCTCAGGAGGAAGG